CGAACCCTCTTCCCCGCTGCGCCCCATTCTCCCCCTCCACCCACTTAGTTTATCATCAATCAAATATTAGTTAATTTCTTAATTACTTTAATTTCTAAAATCTTTTTCAAAATACTTTTGTAACAATCTGCGATCAGCCCCTTCGAAATTTCTTTTGAAATACGTTGAAACTAAGTAGTTAATACTTCGAAAGCTCATTATTTCCGAAATTCGTTTTCACAATTTCTTTAAATAATTCATCTCTTTTTGGAATACTTTTTATTTCTTTCCAAATTTCTTTGGAACTCCTTTTTGCAATTCGATTACGTTTTTATTTTTTCGAAAATTTGAATTTGCTTTTTTTTCATTGCTTTAACTATTTTCGAATAAATTCTCGAAATTAATTCGGAAATAATCACCCTTTTCTGAAATTTCGAAATTTCTTCTGAAATATTTTGAACCTTGAAAATAATTAATTTTTACGAAATTATTTTGCAATTTCTTTGAAATATTTTAATCAATCGGAATTTCCTTTTCCTCTTTGAAATTCTTTTAATACTCTAGCATTGATCTCTTTTAGCAGTAGTGTCTTTTAGCATTAATCTCTTTTATATATACTCCTAATTCCTTCCGAAATTTTCTTGAAATTCCCTTAATTAATTAGTCCGTTTCTGAAATTTAAATTCATTTGAATTAATTCCTATTTCGAACTTCTCTTCGAGTTATTTCTTCCAAAATTGCAACGAAAACTTTTTTTTCCGTAATTCGAAAATATTTTCTTTCGAAATTCCACATTTTCTTGTAAATAAATTTAAATTTAAATCAGAATCTATTTTTTTGAAATTAAGTACCTCTTCAAGCATTTATTTTTGAAAATTTCATTGAGCAAATTTCTCTTCTCCTAAAATTTTGTTCTACCCATATTTTGAATTAATTTCGAATAAATAAAATTCAAAGTCAGAATAAATTTTCTTACTCAAAATTAATTCCCACTTTCCCTTCCCCCCCAACCTTACTCCCTTCGAAATCTCGGCAATCATCCTTATTTTGAATTTATTGATAAAGAAATTGTGTCCCCCATCCCCACATGCCACCACGCCAAACCAAGAACTCCCGACGCGCCGCCGTCGGCGCCGCTGCTGCTGCATCCTCCACATCTGTTCCGGTCGCGTCCTCCACCCCCTCTTCCCCCAACATGGCTCTATCATCCATCAACATGTCTGATCTTCGATCCGGCTCCATCGACAGCAGAGCTCGTAAACTCCTACTTTTCCTAGAGCCACACCCGACCCATATTGGACATCCATAATATTTGGCAGCCGTAGCCAGCCAAAACAGCTGTTTAAAAATCCTCACAACCTGGCCCAGCCGCAGCTGCGCCCAATTTGAGCGTACAAACCCGGGCCCGCCCGCGCCCAGGCCTTGTTGAAGAGTTGCAGCCAGACCTGCCCAGACCCAGACATTATTTTCACCACTTACCCCCGCCCAAACCCTCAAGCATAATCCCACCCGCMCCCGCCCGTAGCCAGCATTTTTTTTACCACCCGCACCCACCGTAGCCGACAATTTTTTTGACCACCCGCGCCAGCCCGTAGCTGGCATTTTTTTTACCACCCGCACCCGCCCGTACCCGGCATTGTCTTTCCAAGTTTTCCAACTATTTGAATTGAAGAACAAGTACGCACATGAATGGTAAGGCTCCAGACAACTGCACATGCCACATGTGTATGCGAAAATAAAAACCATTAGAAAACGAAGAAAAAATTCAAAGCATACTAGAGGTTATCAAAATAATAACAAATCCTTAGTGGACAAAGAAAGAATTATGCCATCATCAAGAAAGACAAGCCACTTATAATATAACCTCACATACTTTCATTGGTTTGGCATCTCAAAATTTGTCCTAAGTCTTCTTAGCATTGAAAAATGAGATCAATCAAGTTTTGAACTTGAAGCTTCGTATCTCACTCTGCAAAGTTTGCTGGCTCACTAGGAAACAATTTTCTTGATCTATCTGGCTGCAGTCATTTTCACTAGGATTGCAAATATCTAAAATACTGCAGTCCTAAACTGCCAAGTCTTTGTTCGATCTAACGAACAAAACATCATTCACCACTGACGGTTTTATCGAATTCCGTTTTTTAGTAATACTGTTGCCTGCATCGGAAAAATTACACTCGCTTTTTGAACTTGATGCAGGCACAGATAGGATGGCACGTGCCACTCGTGCCATAATAGGAAAGGGGGGGAGCAACAATTGTTGTTCAACAGTCTTTACTACAACCCCTTTTGCCTTCCACCAAGCCAAAATCTCGAATGATCGCTTCTCATCCTTTGTCAACTTCAGGCTCCAATAATAATCGAGCTCCTTCTGTATCTGCTCTTCACTAGTCAATGGCGCATTGCCCGCAGCCGCATCTATATCTTCATCTTCTTCATCAAAGCTGCACAATCTAGTACGCGGTTTCGTCTCATCCACCTTTCGTTTTTTCAATGGTCGTGGAGAACGTTCTTTTTCTGATACAACTTCTCTGAAACCTTCCTTACTCACCTCTCCTTCCACTCTTGCACCGACAGTGAGCATCATCCTTCTCATGCCACTCTGTGCTCTTTTTATTTGAGCAACAGGAACCTCAAACAAGTCTAAGTGATCTTTCTGCCTCGAGTCCAAAAGTGCAGCCTGAACGTGCACGTCCTCAAGCTCCCATTTCTCCCTCAATACCTCTTTCACAAGCTTCTTGATTCCCCTTATGCCTGCTGAGTCTGGAGGGATGGTGGTTTCTTTTCCACTGCTGTCCACAACCTGCAAAGACACAGTTCGAATCTCACAACGTTCCATGAGAGAGTGTCGCTCGAAAGGGACTAGGTGAAGAGTCGGCTCAAGAAATTTCTCAAGCTTTAAGGTTGCCGCCTGAAAAGGTCTTAGGAACCTTGCCAACTCTTCCAACAGCTGGCGGTCAATCTTTGCGATGAGAATCGCATGATTTGCAGTTCGACTGACAAGAATGTTCGTAATATCTTCATAATTTTCAACGACACTTTCTAACAGTCTTAATAATGAATTCCACCGTGTTGCATTCTCTTGCTTCAAAGTGGTTTTCAAACTGTTATGAAGATTTGCTTGCTTGAAGTACCTGACCAGYTCTTTGCARTGATCAATCATGTCAAAAACCTCAGGTGCGGTGTCATAGAACTTATAAAAAGGAGTGGACGTCACCTTATTGCTCACCGTTGTGGTTTTGTTCAAGACTGTGGTCAAGATGGTTGCGATTTTGTGATCTGCGCACGRGAGCATCCGGTACACACTCYGAATGCYCTCTGCTCCACACATGTTTGACCCACTKTCCGAGCACACAAAACACAGTTCCGGATCAGTGCATCCGTACGCTTCGAGACATTCTCGAAATGCCTTCAAAATGAGAGGTGCAGTGTGCGCCTCATCGTAAAATGCCTTCACCTGTAAGGTTCTATTGTGCAGCTTGAAATAATTATCAATGTAATGAATTGTGACAGACACAAATGAGTTTTTCCTCATTGCATTTGTCCACATGTCAATTGTGAACCCAACACATATTCCCTCCTCGAAGTGCTCTTTTACTCTTTCACTCACTATTTTTCGAAGAGATTCAGCAGTCAACAATATCTGCTGCTTCATTGTGTTCGGCGCAGGCACCAGACTTTCCGCTCGCATGCCTTTGCCAATGTTAATTCCAACATCCAAAATGACTTGTGCAACTTTTATAAAACCTGCGTCAGAAAATATGGAAAATGGACGAAGGTCCTCACAACACATCAACGCTGCTGCATTTGCCAGTTTTTTCTTTTGTGCAGCAATAGGTTCAATATTGCCCACAAAACACCGCAAAGACCCAGCCTCCCTGTTCTCAAGAGGACATTTATGGCTGTTCAACGAACTTGTCCCATTCGATGTTGTATACGCATAGGGGCAGTAGTAGTGCCTACATGCCACATAACCTRTGTTGTGCTCCCACACAGGCRACCCGTCTTGCTTGCATACATGCCCAAACCGTTTCCAGCAAGATGCAGTGCTTGAGCTTTCGTCTTTGAGGACATACTCAGCACCTGGCGCACCCTTCTTTAAGACACGCTGGATTCGTGCCTTAAATGTGAACATGTCGGTTTTTTCTGTTGTCRACATTGTCCCAAAACTTCGTAMCAAAGTACCGGATTTCCCCTCATGCATGCCAGCGCTGTTCAGCGATGGCCACGATGTCGATGCTCCGCTGCTAGGCTGCCCCTGCATGTTCGCACGCTTCCCTGACCCGGGAAAAAGACAAGAAAAGCCAAAATTAAAAAATGAACACCATACCCTTGATGATTCCTATCTCATCTCGACTCTATCTTGCATGAGACCATCTGTGTGATGACATGAATGCATGCGAGATATTGCACTCCAGCAAACTGTGAACTGACGGGTTCCTTGCATCCCACTTGCAGGGAGGATTGCCCGAATCTGGACGTGCTTTTCGCTGAGATGCAGAAAAGTAGATCACGCGCGATTTTCTGCACCTCTCCACAAACACGTCCACAGTCGGGCGTAAACATAAAAAGAGTACATAAAAGGCGCCCAGGGCCGAGGTTCCACTAGCAGAGAGAATGTGATTCAAGGCCGGAATCTGGACGTGCGTGCTTTTTTTTTTTTTTTTTACTTTGTGGA